GGTTTTTGTGGAATCTTTAGGGTTTTCTTTTTTTTCTTCTTCATTTTTTTTTTTTTTTTTTTTTTGAGAGTGAGTCTTACTCTCTTGCCCAGGCTAGAGTGCCGTGGCGTCAGTCTACCTCATGGCAACCTCAAACTCCTGGGCTCAAGCAATCATTCTGCCTCAGCCTCCTGAGTAGCTGGGACTACAGGCATTGGCCTTCATACCCAGCTAATTTTTTCTATATATATTTTTTAGTTGGCCAATTAATTTATATTTTTTAGTAGAAATGGGGTCTCACTCTTACTCAGGCTGGTTTCGAACTCCTGAACTTGAGCGATCCGCCCACATTGGCCTCCCAGAGTGCTCGGATTACAGGCATGAGCTAGCGCGCCTGGGCATCTTTAGGGTTTTCTACAAGTAAGATTATGTCATCTATAAGCAGATAATTTTGCTTCTTCCTTTCTAATTTATATGTGTTCCATTTCTTTTTCTTGCCTAAGGTAAAATATTTTTATCCTATCATACTTAACAATTAGATTATCTTTGTTATCTTTAGGTTAACCTTACTAAATATATTTTTTATCTCAAATCCAACTTTGTAAAAGTACTTTCTTGGTTGTTGTTCTGCTTATCTTTATATTCATCCTTCCTTTCTCATTTTCCTAATCTTTTTTTTTATTTGGTCTATCTCTATTATCTGAGTCTTATACCAATTTCCTCCTAAAAATTCCCTTCTGCTATGAAACCTTTATTAAAGACAAATGTCTCAATAGTTATTTAAAATTCTTCTTTTAATGCCTTTGTATGTGTTTGAACTAGGTGTGCTTCAACATCATCTACAACAATTCCAGTTTACAGAATACCCACCACAGGTGCATTTTCTCTTTCAGCATTGACATTCCTGTGTGATACTAAGATGGCTCTTATCCCCCCTCAACCACCCTCTCCCAAGTGATCATGCAAGAATTATTAGGTATAAATAATATTAGTCTTTCTTCAAAATAGGCCTCAAATGATTAATACTTTATAATTTAGGACTCTTTTTTAAAAAATATAACACAAGAGTTAAATTTCTCAAAGAATGACCAAAAATAAATCCTAACTTTTACCACACATGATAATACCCTTAGATATGAGGCTTGATTTATATTTTATTATATCTTTTTTCTTAAGAAAGTCCTCTTAAGAATCAACTATACCTGTGGTATTTGCAGACTCTCTAATTCAATGTTCACATTAGTGTGCATCAGTATCACCTGCAAAACTCACTGAACACAGATTACTGGGCCCCCATCCTCCATAGTTTCTGATTTATCTGATCTGGGTGGGGCCTGATTATATGCATTTCTAACAAATTCCCAGGTGACAGATACTATACCAGTGATCCAGGCACCACATTTTGAGAATCAGTGGTCTAAACAATACTGTGTAATTTTAATTCTGTACCTACATATTTGTCATTGTCTAACCTAGACCATTTAGGTTTGGGTATTCTGCTATTTTCTAAGGCATAACATTTTTTTCAACATTACTCCCCTCTCAATTAAAAAAAAAATAGATGATTTCACTGTTCTTTTTATCCCGCTATGATATCTTAGACATCTTTGTTTTACTACTCCTTAACACACACACAGCTCAGACTTCCAAATCATGCTGAATCTGTGATGGTAATGACGGCAATAGCAATAACAGCATTTATAGAGCATTTATCCTGTGTTAGGCACTATTCTGAGAAGTTTATTTGAATTAATGTAATCCTCATAAATCTTTCATGATGTAAGTACTGTTATTAACCCAAGATAACTGATGAGAGGAAACTTAGGCGTAGAGAGGTTCTTACATCTAAGAAAAAGTAGAAGACATGGAAATCTAACCTAAACTTTCTAGTTTTAGAGCCCAGACCTATAATTCCTACTCCTCACCACTATGCTACCATGTTATACCACCTCTACATATTATGTCTGAAACCACTTGTGTGCTTTGTTTTCTATAGCTCTCACTGCTCCATGTCTTAATAAACTTATAGATGAGCTATATCCAAACACTGGGCTTGAATATTAGCACTTTACATGCTTGGGATTAGTTAAAGCTTCATAACAATACTATGATTTTGTGAGAAAATTGAGGCTTAGTAAGTCTAAATAACTTACCCAAGTTACTACTTCTAAGTGCTAGAATCAAGACTTAGATCTTTCTATCACTGTGCCCATCCTCTAAGCCAGTGTGCATCCTTCCTGTCAACAGCCAATTTCCCAAACTCAAGTTGCTTACAACATAAGAATCATGTTCCTAGTGCCTAGTGTTGGTTCAGATCATTTCTTGGAGCAGTAGTTTCTTGTTATCTTTTATATTATAATAAAATACTTGGTTTTGGTTTTAGATTCTTTCCACGCATCTCATCTCAACCACTTTTTTTTTACTATCAGGTAAAGCCTTTTGATGTAGAATTCTCTTACCCACCTGAATCATCTTATGTACCATTTTTCCACAACAAAGCATATTAAAATTCTAGGCTTCCAGGCAAAGTATTGTGCCCCATCTTCCAACTTGCCCTTTTATGTTCTCCACCAATCAGTATTATAACTATTGTACAGCCTGCCATATCTGCAATTGTACCTCCTGTGTTTGGCTTACAGTAGTCAGTAGTGTTACAAATGACATTACTTTTCTACAACTTAGATGAGGGAGAATACCATTATCATCTACCTTATAAAATAATTTAACTTCATTATTAAACATACATAGTACCCCACGGATGAAGGTAGAGGTGAAGGTAGGTAGAAGAAAGAATTAAATGTGCACTATGATCTATGTAGATAACCTCAGTTGAAATTTCCTGAGAAGGGAAATAAAGATGTCTGTATGGCATTGAGCTTCAAAGATCTAAAATAACTCTCTTTGCTGGAAAATTACATATTTTAGTAAGAGATTTTTTTTCTCTGTGCCAGGATCTGTTCAACTTCTGATTAACACTTTATAGTCCATACTATCTTCATAGTCTTCAGCTATTTCTTTTTTTCTCTATGATCTCTAGAACTTTGATCTTTCCCCTTGACTACATCTCATAATTCTTGTACACTCCTCATACCTCCCTCAAGTCCTCCTATCATCCTTCAATTTCTTTCTCACATCCTTACCCTAAGTTGATGGTCTGTCTCCTAGCCCTAAATTTGTTACAAAAATTATTAAGATTTTTAGATATATAAAGTCTCTTGAGCAGACACCGGTGCTGTCTTTGTCAGAACTCAGCAGGTAAAATAGTTACTCTGATGCCATGACAATACTTTAATAAAATTCTAGTAAAGGACTTAAGAGCTTTAAGGATTAAATTACTGTATAATCATTTCTTCTGTACTAAGCAATATTGAATAAGTAAAGTTTCATTATTTTTGAATTGGTTGGTGAAATTATAATGATAGAGATTCTAATATTGGCTGCATATATGCATATTAGTATCCTACATATATGCATATTCTAATATTGTCTATTAGTACCCTGCATATATGCATTTAAATTACTTGAGATCTTTATTTGTGTAGTGATTTCAAAAAACAGGCTCAGATATAACACTCTCAGCAGAGGTGAGAGTTTTGCTATTGCAAAGCTTGCTTTTGACAGAGAACCTTATCCTTAGCACTCTTAGCATTAGACCTTTGTTGCCATGGAGACACTAACAAGCTGTATTTTTTTTAACATGCACTTAAAGTATACATACATATCCTAAGGTTTTAAATGTTACTTAATCGTAGGTTTTGAGTATTGGCACATTTCAAAAAAAAATGTTCTATATTCTTTTAATACTTTACCATTTTTATCCTCCAAAGAAAATAAAAAATTATGGCCATTGTAATGACAAAGTTTTATATTACTTTTTACAGGGTCTTTTAGAATAACTTTTAGAATCTCCTATGGTTCAGTACCAGATGAGGATTTTGAAGAACATGCAGAAACTTTAGAAAAAAGTATTATGATCTTAAACACTCACATGTCTTGGCCACCTATAGTTATGACACTAATATGTAATATATACAAATCAATTTCAGATTCAACTGATAAATTTTGTGCCAGTGCTATGCTAAGCACTTTCACCCTATTATAGTTTATTTAATAGAACTCAGAAAACACCAAAGCAATCTTCATAATTTTAACTTTTAAAATGTTTAATTATTTGAATGTATTTCAATAGTGTTCCTGGATTTTCCAAAATAAAAATCATTAAATAAAATGTATACATGTTTTCAGTAAGTAAAACTTTCAATTCATAAATTATACTTTATTCTTTATAAGAATGAATGGATTCCGTGGCATAAAATATTGCTATTCCATAGATCTCATGATTAAATTGGTAACTAAATCACATTACTTTAGCATGGAGTGTCCTACTGGCATGGCCTAGTTAATATTTTAGTCCACCAGCAGTTTTGACTTCTTATGTTAATGGCTGAGCAGTAAGGTGATTGATTTCCTTGTTAAGCTATGTAGATTAGGCCTGATAGTTTATATTTAATCCCACTTATAGTATTCACAACTGAATATTAGAGTAGTTATTTCTGGTTAAAGAAAACCTTTTGATGATAACTATTATAAACAAAACTTAAAATGTAGTCCTGTTCGTTCCTTAGTTAATTAATATCTGTATTTAATGGCAAAGGAAGCCAAGATAAAAAGAGCTGTTTGCCTTATAAAGAAAGAGAAAATAGCTAAAGGTAATAGACGACCACAATTTGTGCTCATAGTTTTGAATATTAGATTTTAGCTTTTACAGTTTTCAGTGACTTTTTAACAAGACCCATCTCCTCTATGAAGAATGCAGCTAGTTTTTTTTCTGGCACAAAAAATAGGGTAACCTGATCTGAGTCTGACAGAGTGTGTCGTTCATTTAAGTGCTTCCATCTGTTGCCTGCTGTTCCCCTTACTCATGACCCCTCTATGTTTCTCTCTTTCCCTTTCCCCTTCTCTTTTCCTCTGTATCTTTCCTTTTTCTCTCTCCTCCCCCACCCCCACCTTTTTGTCCTTAGCCCCTCTGAGGAAGGCAAAGTTTGTTGAGAGCCCACGAATTCCAGAATCCGAGCTTGGCTCACCAACCCTTACTTCAGCTCAGAAGCTGGACGTGGATGCATACTGCCCTGGTAAGCATGCATGCAAAGTGTCTGCTTTGAAAGAGGGAGGATTGGATCAGGCCCATCCAGCAGATCAGTATTTTGCATGTATATTCCTCATTTAAAAACATGTTACCTTTTTTGCAATTGATTGCATATTCTTCTTAATAGAAAATAGTTTTTACTGAACATCCTTCCTATTTTGAGTATTGATAAAACATGAAAGTATTGAAAACAATTTCAAAGATAATTTTTTAAAGAATTATTTTTAAAGAATAAAAAGTATTTTTAAAAATACTTTTGGTAAATAGTTTTCAGGGCCATCTTTGTAATTTGAGATACTTGAAAAATTTTGCTGTGGCCATTTGCAAACAGGAATGTTGAAGCCTGTAAGAATGTTCATTCAACACTAGACCTTTTGTGTATGACCTATTATGCCCAATTCATATTGGATTTCTGGATAGTTATAGAAGATACTTGTGATGTTGAAAACATTAAACTTGAATTAGAAAAGAAATATTATAGGTTTCTGAGATGTACTCCTTTTTGGACACTCACTTTTAGAAATACCTCTTCGCATGAATGGCCTGTAAACACATGTAGAAGTTCACTGAAACCCTTCCTGTGTGGGAGCCAAACGGAGACAGACTCATTATCAATGCTTAGATTCTTTCAAACTTAGATGAGTTGCCTGGCAACATTCTTTACACTCTCTCTACAGTGAGTCTATAGAGCTGTGTCAGAAATGTTCACAGCTCTAGTTGAGTATACAGACCAGAGCATTAGTAAAGGACCTTAGAAGACTTGGTTTTAGGTCTTTTGTTTATTCCTGCTCATTAAAATTGATGTTAAACCACAGTGAATGCAACCACTACATATTTACAGTACTAGGGGTCAGCAGAATAAAATGATTCCTAGTTCTAGGGAAGATATCTGTATTCTCTGATCTGAAATGTCAGGATAATATATCCCTGAAGCCACATAAGACATGTTAAAACAAAAAACAAAACAATGAGAGAAAACTTGGGCCAAACCTACTAAAATGAGAGACATTTGACTTTATGAATCAGTTTTGAATATTGAAACACCTTGGGGATTTTGATTCTAAGAGTTGAACCCTGAGCTTCACTGTTCTGGATGACTGTTCTTTCTAAATCAATCACAGTTATGTTTTAGGAATCAACTTTTCTCTTTACAAAAGAAACAAAATAGCTCTTTAAATGGTACTGTAGCACATGGTTAGAAGAATCTTTTTCATATTTTGAGGTATTATCACACTTCTTGGGCAATGGAATATTGTGCTTAGCATTTCTTTATGCAAATTTTAGTGTTGTAAAAAAAAAGTACTAATTTTATATTCCTTCCTTGAGTTTAGAAGAAAAACTCTATCAGAGGCCTTTTCTTTTCCAGATTTGCAAGTCAGAATGACTGTCAGGAGAGCCTAATCTTTCACTTCCTGATTACCCATCTGACATCCTTAATATAATCTAGCTATTGCTGTTGTCATGAAGCAAAGTAGCTACTGTTTGTTCATAGGAAAGCCAGTGCTCAATCACTATGAAAATTTTTATTCGTGTGATTATTTATGTATATTTTCTATAAGCATGGATTCCTTACTGAGTTAGAACCCAACTAAACCTCAGTTAAGATTTCTAGAAAGCCAGAGAGAAACTAAAACATGATGCCAAATGCTAATTGCCATTCTTTCTTTTCTAATCTGAAACGGATTTAAAGCATAGAAACTTCATAGTGGTTTTTACTCTTTTATAATAAAGGTATTAGACTCTCTGAAAATAAGTTTCTACTGAGGTAAGAGGAGTAACTTTAAGGTTGAAGTTGTCTCTACATAGTACCAAAAATTAACAATAAACGAATGAATGAGTTTACACATAAAACAAATATCAATCCATGATTTTAAAATTTCTTTTACCTAGGATATACTAACAGAACAGTGATCATATTTTATTGTACCATCAGTGTTCTGGTATCTTCATGTCCACTTGCTTTATTCATTCAAATTTAAGAAACTATATCTCACAGAGGCAACAATCATAAACAGAAGGTTAGAGCAGTGTTTCTAAAATTTTAACATACTTCAGAATGAGCTGGAAGAGTTGTCCAAATGCAGATTGCTGAGTCCACCCCTAGAATTTCTGATTCAGTAGGTATGGGGTGGGGTGAAAATCTGTATCTCCCAGGTGATGCTAAAGTTGCTCTTTGACATTCCACACTTTGAAAACCAATTGCTACAAGGCTTCTGCAGGATACTTTCAGTGGTACCATGAACAATGCTGAAAGACTGTGGGATTTAGTCTACTGTTGACTTCTGAGGAGTAATTGGCAATGTTGTTTCAGTGTTATATAAACTTAAACCTTTGGCACCTATGTTTTAGGTTGGAAGAATAAAGCTTTTTGTTTCTGAGAAATGGACATAAGTATTTTTCTTTGTGTGTTTGTTCCTGGCATCTGTGTGCCCATGCCTAACTTTCTGTGTTGTCTTACATATATATAAAAGAAAATTATGGATCAAACCAAACCAAGTCCTTTGCAGACTAAACAGTCTGCAAAGTCTAGGGAAAGCCACTCTGGGATATAGCTATTGATCCAGAATATTTATCTAATAAATTTAGTGATTCAACATAGCATTAGATTCTAGAATATCTGATTAAAGTTTTACTATTCTTCAAATCAAATTTGCTGTATGCAGAAAGGTGGGAAAAATACAGGTTAACAGTATGTTGTTGTAGTTGCAACTACAGATGTGGAGATGATTGATGATGTTAACTGAAATACCAGAGTAATGGGATGTTCATGGAATTGTTTGATAATTGTCTCACAGTGGGAAAGCTAAGACCTAGAGAATTTAAGTGATTTGTCTGGGGTCACAAGCAGGATTTATTGTTGAACTCTTGAAATGCGCACAATATAGTCCAAAAATACATTGTCCTATAATCCTATTATTGTGTAAATTCCATAAGCATCCCTTATTACTCTTAGATTTAAAAGCAGAAAATTCAGTTTTTAAGTATGAGATAAGGCTGTATTCCATTTTTGTGACAAATGGTAACCAGCTATCAGAGATTTTAGTAAAACAATTCCTAAAATAATAATAGATTCATCCTACATTCTATAACTTTTCTGCCTACAGTATTACAGTATTCTGCCTACAGTATTATTAGCTGTGTGATTTTTGGCAATTCACTTTCCATTTCTACCTCTGTTTTCTCATCTATAAAAATGGGGATACTAACCTTAAACAAGATTAATACATATAAAGTATTTAGCGGAATGCTTGGCTTACTATAAATGCTCATGTTAGCTGATTTTATTATTTTATAGTATAATTATAAAGATCTAAGCACAGGATCTTAAAGTGTCTTCTAAATAATCAGAACAAACATATTTAAAAGTTTAGGGTCATTTTTAGTTAAATGTGCCTTATTGTATTTCAGTTCCAATTTTTACTAATCTTGTAACTGAAGTTTGTCATGTAACTTTTTTGTGTCTCAGTCTCCTGTCACAGCAACATTATGTATACCATAACATTATTTCTGTAATTCAACACATTACATGTTTATATAGATACATGAATATACATTCATAGGAAAAAATGTCTAGAAGAATCCACAAAATAGTAACATTGATTGCCTAAGGAAGGAGAGATTTGGGATTGTTGGGAAGTTAGAGTAGGATTGGTGAAAATAATGCTAATGTTAGCAGAGGTAATAGCTGATTGGTGGGATTACAGGTAGTATTAATTTTCTTTCTTAGGCAGCACATGTTAGTGAATAAGAGCCTATGTCCTGGTGTTAGAGCTGGGTTTATGACTCTTTCATATACTAGCTGTGTGAATATGATAAAAATAGAAATATCTTTAAAAAAACAAAAAAAGACCTATCTCGTAGCATTGTTACTAAGATTAAGTGAAATAATGTATATGCCACATGCTTAGCACATGCAAAATAAACAAGATATAAATTTCAAAATATTAAAGGGTACAAATAATTTTGGTTACATGAATTGCTTTTATAATGCTTGAGTCATGGTTATAAGAGTGCCTGTCACCCAGGTGTTGCTCATTGTACCCATTAAGTAGGTTTTCACCTGTCCCCTCCTCTCCCTCCCCCCTGGTTGATTTCTGTTGAGTTTTACTTCCCTCTATGAACATGTGTGCTCATCAGCTAGTTCCAATTTAGTAGTGAGTACATATGGTATTTGTTTTTCCATTCTTGAGATACTTCGCTTAGGAGAATGGTCTCCAGTTCCATCCAAATTGCTGCAAAAAGCATTAATTCATCCTTTTTATGGCTAAGTAGTACTCCATAGTATAGATATACCACATTTTGTTAATCCACTCAGGAATCGATGGGCCCTTCCACATCTTTGCAATTGTGAATTGTGCTGCTATAAACATTCAACTGCAGGTGTCTTTTTGGTAAAGTGACTTCTTTTCCTATGGGTAAATACCCAGTAGTGGCATTGCTGGATCACATGGTAGATCTACTTTTAGGTCTTTGAGGAATCTCCATACTATTTACCATAGAGGTTGTACTAATTTGCAATCCCATGAGCAATGTATAAGCATTCCTTTCTCTCTGCATCCACACCAGTATCTGTTGGTTTTGGACTTTTTAATAAATGCTATTCTGACTGGAGTAAATTGAACAATAAGAGATATTAACATCCTTCCTGTTATTATTGTTTATCATCATCATTGCACTTTTGTGCATTTTCTAAAATTTCTGTAATGAACTTCTGTTGAACATTTTCAGTAATCAGATGACACTAAATGATGGTGATACTCTTTTTATAGTTTAGTTTTTTAAGTGTTTATGTTACATATTATAATATAAAATTTCTTACATATTATAATATAAAATTTCAAGTGTAAATGTGAACTTTGACACAGATAGCAGTTCATTCTTACCAAACTGAGGATGGAAGGGAAGATTACCCTACACAAACAATGAAAACCTACATAACAGGAAAACAACTCAAAATGTTCAAAGTGAAAAGTTTTATTCATCAAA